AGATAGATAGATAGATAGATAGATAGATAGATAGATAGATAGATAGATAGATAGATAGATATTGTGTATATAGGATGTTATTGTTTACATTTTGTCCAAATGTCTTTTACTTCTGGAATCTTTCATATGATCTAATTAGACTGAGCTGATTTTGAAGGGCCTCTAGCTGTATACATAGTTGAGTTTCTTACCATTATAAACTATTTCAAGAATTTTTTGAACAGCAGTCCAATTTCTGTTCTTTGTCTTTGCAGAGATGTAGAGAAAAGCAGTTAAAACGTTGGATTGAAGACGGTCCGGTACCTGTACTCTCAGAAGCTGCACTGCTAGCGCCCGCTGCCGTCCTTGACTCAGACTGGGACTGTGATGAAGTGCCTGCTGCCTCTTCTCTGCTGGACGCCTGCAACAAGCCATTATGCATTAAAACACTGTACAGAGCCCCATGTTTCACCTTCCTCCACTCAAGTGTGTAATTAAACTGAGGAAAACAAGCTGCTGTCTCTCTCCAACACAGTGTCTCTTACATCTGAATAAAACTTTCTGGTTCACAGAGACGCTATAACGAGATGTGAGCATGCTGTGGTGGAAGTACAACTCAAAACTTTACTGTACTATGAGTGCACCACCTCAGAGGAACAATTATATTACAAGTACCAGCACTTAACAGTATTAAAACATGCGGTGGTGAACTCAGTGATTCCAAACTGATGACCAGAACGTCCATTAATTTGCTTGAAAATGTACAATGTATAAAAGACGAGCTTTAATTAGCTTATAAATACCACACGGCACCAAAATTTGCATAAAATTGCATATGTCGCTTCTCATTTACATGAGAAAGCTTCCAGGCTATGAAAATCCAATGCCATATAAAGGCCTTATGAATGAATTAAAATGAAATCTGGTCATGCCTCCTAAAAAATTAAACCAAAGATGAAGAAAACTGTACATGGGAAAAATGAAACATTTGAGTATAATGTGTAAGTTTATTCTACAATCAGCAGGCCAACAAGCACACTGATTACAGTTTGAGCTTTGTGGTAATTACTAATGAAAAGAGTATGGTTTGCCTCCAGTAAATGTGCAGTAAACTAGGTCACTCACACTCCTGCTGGTTTGTGGGGAAACCAGCGGACATTTCTCCAGGGCCGCACCAAACGGACTGGAAGCTCCGCTTGATGGAGACGAGTTCACCCTGTTCAAAAACAGGTAAAAAAAATTACAATGACAGCTGAAAAACACAAGTTACTAACAAATAGAGATGTTTTTTAGAGATGTTTATATACCTACACTCTATAACTTATTTAAATCTTATTCGTATTTGATGAAACCTCATGTTAAAGAACCAGTATAATGCTTTCTTGGGTTTCCCTAGTCCTTTATAGCTTTTTTGGAAGCGAAAGGGAGTTAATCTCGCAGAAAACATTGATCCCTACCAGCCTGAAACACTTAGGCTTTTCCTATATTATTTTTTTATGTCACCATGTAGCACGTTAGTCTGCCTCGTGGCTAGCTTAGCCACGCCCTCAAACAAAGCTTCCTTCCATTATTTTCCCTCAAGCGCTGATTCTGCCAGAGGTTAAGCCATAGACTGTATAAAAGATGGACGGAGCAACCGGCCCTAAAAAATTAAGCCAACCTGGAAGTGTCAAAAACCTGCAATATCACTACGTCCACTAGCTGCTGGCTCCAAAAAGCCCTGGCTCCCATAGAAATGAATTGTAAAAGAAGTGATCACAGATCACCAAATACTGCATTCCTACAGCTCAGGATTTTTTTCTTATTAGTTTTCATGGTCAAATCCAGAGATCAGGTGGTCAATCTGAAAATAAATCAGTACTGAATTTTTTAAAAATCGTCAACATTTTGCGGGGCAAGGGGGCGTGGCTGGCTTGATTGACAGTCAGCAGCGACCATATAGACGAAGCGAGCAGAAGGTGGTAAATGTGGGCGGGCAGAGAGGGCCTGCCTCTCAATCCGTCTGACCAATCGCTGCTCCTATGGCTCCGCCCCCCTCCGACAATTTTTGCGTCACTGGCTCCAAAAATCCAAGATGTCAACCAGGAAGTAGTAAAACCCTGGCTTCATTTTCTCAGTGCAGAAACCAGCAGGTGATGTCACGGCAGCTACGTCCATCTTTTATACAGTCTATGGGTTAAGCTACACAACCAATGGTGCCTCGCTTTTGCTGACCAATCAGAACAGACCGGGCTTTTCAGGAGGCGGGCCCTTAAAGAGGCAGGAGCTAAAACGTAGCATGTCAGACAGCAGGTGAGAAGAGGTGCTGCCACGATGTACGCAATGAGACAACTGAAGTGTTTTTGAACAATAATGCATGTAAATATATTTGAGTGGACCCCCAAAATAAAATGATAAACCATTGAATGTGCAGAATATGGGCTCTTTAAGTTTATGATTTGGGGCGGCTGTGGCTCAGGTGGTGGAGCAGGTGGTCCACTGATTGCAATGTTGGCAGGTTGATCCCTCAAGTGTTCCTGGGTACGTTGGCAGCCCAATGCATGCTAGTAGACCCTGCATGGCAGCTCAGCCACCACTAATGTGTTTGTGTGTGTGTAAATGAGTTAATGAGAGACAGGCTGTAAAGCACTTTATAGGACCGAGCTAAAGTTAAAGGGTGCTATATAAGTGTGAACATTCACAATCAGGATCTCTAAAGATGTCAATATATCTACAGTACACAGCACAATTTATTATGTTTATGTTAACCCATTTGTCCATAGTATTTATCAAACCGTTTCCCTTTCTGTAAAGAAAAGTCACTATTTCTGATTATTGTTTCTATTTTGTGCCTGAATTTCCAGAACCCACCTGTAGGAGTCGATGAGCTCATTTGCGATTTGGGTCCCTATGCTGCCTGCGTAGATCATCGTGCCAATGCCACTGGAGATGCTGGGAATCACAGGTATCTGCTTTGTGTCGTCTGCTGAAGAAAGATTTAAATAAAATAAATAAATCACAAAAAAGACACACACAGCACCAGACACACAGTACGGCATGCATTCCTTACCCTGAAGTGCGTTCGAGCTGCCTGCTTCCTCTTCATCTTTAGTGTGACCAGGCCCCCTGTTGGTACAAAGGAGAATGTGTGCTGCTTTAACCAGGAATACAAGGCATTTTACAACTGTGTGGAAGGGATGGACACAAAAATAAAGGTTTTTGGACCTTCAGAGAAAAGACTACCCAATCTGTTCTGTTACATTACAGACATTCACTAGCAAAAACAGAAAAAAAAAGTACTAATATACTGTAAACCCTAAAAAAAAAATCTGGTCAAAACTCTAAATATGTCAACATCAAAATCAATACAAATGGAGATTTACTCTTTTACAACGGTTGACTGTAATATAATACTATTTATAATTTATTAAAATCAGCAAAAAATAGCATTCTTTTTCTGATATGTTGTTATTTGAAAGAAAAAATGTGATTTTCTCTGTTTCGTTTGAGAAATTTGAAACAATATCGACTATAATCCCAGAAAAAAGTAGCTCTTTGAATGTCAACTGTAAAAAAAAAAAGATAAAAAGAAACAGCGTCTGCATCCAGATTCTGTATTTTTACAAATACTAATATGTTCTTTACAATGTGCGACCATAAAATGACACAGATTTACTGTTTTACTGTATTTAAATCAGCTATAAATATCATTATTTTATAGATATTTGTCTTCATTTTCATCTGTCTTACAGTTTTTGAATGTTACAGTTTTCCTCTAGTTTTTAGTTGTCTTTTTATGGCACCCTGGCAGACAGGTTTTCACACATTGGACTATTTTTTACAGTATATCATGATTCTGTTTTTGCAGTTCGCTGAAAAACATGATTTAAAAAAAATGAATGAGTGTGTTTCACGTCCTTCCTCCCACATTGCCAGTGTCAGTGAGTGTGTTGTGAAGCATCCATAGAAACAGATCAATACTTACAAGACGAGCCTGTTTGAAGACACGATAAACTCAACTTCTTTGGTCCATGGATTTGTGAAGCTAAACCACTGACTTTGGAGTGAAACGTAGGAGCCATATTTTGTTTTGAACTTGTAGCACTTTGTCTCAATCTTCTCTTTGCTTCGAAGAACTGCCAAAGAGATTGGACACGGGTGTCATCACAAAGCCCAGTGGAGAGGAAGTGTTGCTTCAAGCCCTTTGGCCAACACTTTAAAACCACAGATGGGATTGACATATTTTATAAGAACTGCTACATAAGAAAACAGAAGTCCTGCAGCTGAACGATCTCGGCTATGTGAAAATCAATATGGGATTAAGGTTGCCACCAGCGGCACCACCATCACCTTGCCTGTGTTTCTCTGCGAGGTGCTGCAGGTCGTCCTGGTGAAAGTACTCATAACACGATGTGCCAAGAAGCTCTTGTGGCAGATAACCGATGACTGTCGTAGCTCTGGGAAAAAAGAGGACAAAACCTGAGTTTATTTTTGATCCTGGTTTTCTGCGTCTCTTTCGCTGCCTCTCAGGATTGTGCACAAGTGAAAAATGAAAGTCTCTCGTGTAACATTCATCAGCGACACACACGGGAAATTTGATAAAGTGATTATTTATACTTGTGTTGTGAAATTACTTCCCAATAAATGAGAAGAGATTTTCATATGATGCCATCAAGATGCACAGCTCCTTCTGAGAAACAATGGCAAAGACAGAAAGGATTATCTCCACTGACAGTTTAACTGACAAAAACTCTACGCTCAGAGGGCTCTCACCACCACCAAACTCCTCTGCCATTCCTTTCTCAGCGGAACCGTGTACTCAGAACAAATCCAAGACTCAGGCTGAAAAGACAGAAGCTGCAAATGGGTGTAGTTAGAAACTGGGAACTCACTGTTGATCTACAAAAGTGAACTTGCCGTCGATCGCACAGCGGGTGACAAATTCGGTGGGCTTCACGTTGATGTCTTTGGAAGGCTGGTGGGACACGTGAGGTTTGAGGCGACACACGGTCACCAGGCAGGTCAGGCTTGAGGTTTCCTTGTCGATGTCGCTCTCCGACTCCAGCTGGCTGCTGGGCCAGCTCCGCATGTATCCAGTGCAGTGGAGGGTACAATATTTGTAGGTGTCTGTGGGCAATGAACAAGGAGTTAGTCAGGAAGTTATCAGCAGTCAAACTACACACACTGAGTCAGAGTGTAAAAAGGGGCAAACAGCATCTCATCCACTGGTTCTGATTTGAGTAAAAATTATGCGATTACGTTGGAAATACGCTGTTTAATTTGTTAGCTTTATGCCTCTCATCCTGTTTGTGTTGTATGCTTTTTTTTTTTTTAAGTTATTTTTTTGGCATTTGTGCCTTTATTGGATAGTGTTAGTGAGAGAGAGACAGGAAAGTAGGGGAGAAGGACATGTGGGAAAGGGTCATGAGCAGGATTCAAACTCATGACCTCCACATTGGGACTGTAGCCCTGCACATCGGACGCCAGCTCTACCAGGTGAGCTATAGCGGCGCCCCTGCATGCTATTTTTTTAATCTGCATTTTTATGCGACTCCTGTTTTGATTCTGCATCTTTCCTTTCTTGCATATTTTGGGTAATGGTCTGTGTTCTGTATATATATTTCTGTCAGAACTTATCTAAATCATATCCACAGCTATTGTGGTTTCAACAGTCCGGCTCATTTTTTTCTTGGTCTCAGGTAAAATACACTTGATTAAATTAGTGGAGGGCTGCAAAGTGGCACAGTTAGTAGCACTGTTGCCTCGCAGCAAGAAGGTCGCTGGTTCGCGTCCCGTTGGGGGCACTGGGATCTTTCTGCGTGGAGTTTCTCCCCGAGCAGTGTGGGTTCTCTCCAGGTTCTCTGGCTTCCTCCAAAAACATGTTGAGGTTAACTGGTGATTCTAAATTGTCCGTAGGTGTGAATGTGAGTGTGCTTGGTTGTCTGTCTCTAAGTGTAGCCCTGTGATAGACTGGTGACCTGTCCAGGTGAACCTGCCTTCACCCTGAGTCAGCTGGGATAGACTCCAGCCCCCCATGACCCTAGTGAGGATTAAGCAGTGCATAGATAATGGATGGATATTAGTGGAGCTACTTTTCAGGTTGACTTGCAGTGGGTTAAAGTAACTAAATACATGCTACTTTATACTTTTACTTCGCTGCATGGCAGATGGAAGTATTGTACTTTTGCTGCATTACAGCAGCTCATACCTGCAGTATGTGTCTCTTTTACAGTCTGAAATCTTACATTTTAAAACAGGCTCATGACCTACAGAGTCTTGTTTAAAGTGAAACCAGTGCTTTCCAGGATTTTAGTCTTGTGACCTCTTTCCAGAAAAGCAGAAACTGGTTGGGTTGCTTCTTGTGTTTCAGAGTTCTAGGAGTTGTTAGCAAATCAACCAAAAACAGATTTGGCCTTTAAACCTGTCGGCTGGTTTCAGGTTTGAAGCTCAAAGCGGTATCACAAAAACAGAAAAAGATCAAAGAGAACGCCACGTATTAATCCAAATCTGTCCAGCAGAGATTTGTGTTTAATAAGTAGTTAAAATGAGTTTTACTTCAACCAGCTGCAGCGGTAGAATTCTACATCTGTAGTCACAATGCAGCCTCTAACACACAAGCCACACTAAAGGTTTTATAGGCTGATCTAGTATTTCACTGTTGATACTTTCACCTGAAAATAACTTATTTTTTTCTATTGACAAGAATCAAACCAGGCCTGTGCTGTAACCACTGGGCTGTCGAACCTATTTTTACTTAAGACATTTAAATGTAGAACCTTTTAAAGTACTTTTAAAGGATCTGAATACTTCTGTCAAAACTGGTCACGTGTTTTAACGATCGAGACTGTCTTTATATTTTAGCTACTGTCATCAAATCTCATGAAAAGACCAAAACCTAAAATGTGTCGGTCCTTGTCTCATAACATTCTGACTCCACAACCTGTCTGGAGCTCTCAGCCTCAAACACACTGTAGCCTAAAATCTCAATCCTTAAAAAAAATAAAATAAAAAGTAGCACCAAAATCTAAAATTGCCTTCTTTTATCCCTCTTTTTTAAATTCATTTATTTCTTTTTAGGAAAAATCGTTTTCTAAAACAGCTGTGCAATCATGTGAAATGCTACACAGACAGACTTGTGCATTTTTGATTTCTGCTGCAGCTCAATGTGTGAGAAAACTCATGTGTTTTAGAGCTCTGTGTGGGGGATTGACTGGAAATAAACTACATGTTCTCAGGTAATGAAGGAACGTATCACCCAGTGCAGCAGTGTGACTCACTGGTGTGTGTTTCTGACAGCAGTGGAGCTCTGAGGCACAGAGGAATCAGATATATAGTGAAAATATTTGCATCAGTGGCAAGTCTTAGCCCTCAGACACTAACTGTCACTTTGCATTAAGATTTATTATTGGTGATAATTACAGTAAATGATTTTATATACAATATTACTGAACTTGTATGATGTAAAGTTGGATGTATTTTCATCTTCTGGGCCATTCAGGTCTCTAATTTCATCTTATTTGACTCTCAGCTGTTCCTGTTCTTAGTTGATTCACATAAAATTTTCAATTTCAATTTTTTCTAATAGATTTTTAAAATAATTTTAATGACTTTGCCTCCTGATCATTACTGCTATGTGTCCTTTTATTCTCTTACTTGGCTATATTGTAAATGATTGAATGACGTAGTTGAATTTGTTTGTGTTATCAGTTCTGGTATTTTTTTTGTGGAATTTGATCCCTACAAAGAATATAAAAGCTGTGACCTGACAGCCATGTGTTCAACGTATGACACGAGGTCAAAAGTCGTCAGCAGTGAGTCGCTGGTTTGATTCCCAGCAAACCCAACCTTTACCACATGGAACTGCCCTGCTCTGTTTGTTTCCATATGTTTGTCTGTCTCAGCTGTGACTGTCAAAAAAAGGCAAAAATAATTAATAAATTATAGAAATAATAACATAAATAAAATTAAAAGTGTAATAAAGAGCATAAAACAGTCTTGTCCTTCAATTCTATGAAATTTTAAAAGAAAAACACTTTCAAATGCTTGTATGACTATAAGAAATATATCAAATATAAGACAGTCGATAGAATAATTGTGCATTTATTGTGTACAAAAAAGCCGTGACAGTCATGAAAACTGTAAATTAAGGCAAAGTTCAAGGGTACTGCTTGTGTTGTTTATTTGTTGTGATGCAGTTGCTGAAGTCGGCCACTGTGTGGCGCCACAGCTCCTGTTTCTGCTGCCACAGTTACAGTAAGTGGAATTTGGACCATCTTCTTACTTTGGTTATACAACGCTGTAACACTGACCTACTTCCTGTGCAGGACAACATGTTTTAAATTGTGGTATTTCTACGAAGAAATCAGTCAGGAAAACTGACCCACATTGTTGAGTCTTTCATCAACAGACAATACGCTTTATTATCAATCTGTTTGTCATATTATATCTGTACAGAATTTAAGTGTTGTTTCATGTGTTTGGTCTGAAGATGCTTCTGTCTGTAAACTAGGAAACGTGGATGTCAAAACACATATGATGCCTTTCTGTAATTAATACCTCTAAAAAGCAGCTAAAGCGATATAAAGGTTTAGTCTCACCAACTTAAATTCAACCACAGCAAAGTTTTGCCTTCTTTTCTAATCAGAACATTTCTGGTTTGTCCCCTATGCAAACAAGGACCTGAATATAATTTCCACTACATTTCTTTGTTTCCACCTTCCTAAATACTGTCGTCATTGCTTTTAAATGCCTTATTTATCTTTTGGTCCACGACCTCCATCCTCCTCCTCCTCCTCGTCTCCTTGAGCTAAAGTGCCCGGCACACAAAGCTGAATAGTTCCTGTCTTTTCTAGAAAAAGAAAAAAAACTCATTCAGACTGTTCCTCTCAGCGGAATCAGTTTAAGTACTCTCAACAGAGCAAATTAACTGAAACAAAATGATCAAAAATAGCACTGGAGGGGGCTGTGGACTCCAGAGGGTCAGTGGGTTTCTTTGCATTTCCATTCAGTCTGTGTATCCAGATTCTATCACGTCCGGTTGGAGGTGAAGCCTTATCTCTCTGAGATCACACTCAAAGTGGCTTTAGAGATAACAGAGCAAGGTCCAGCAGCACGTTAGAAAGCTCGACTAAACTGGCCTTCAGTAGCAGTTTGACTACCTGCTAAAATGTTGTGTTGATATTTATGTAGTTTCATACCAACAATAGAAAGCACGATATAAAGGTAGCACAAATACTTCACTTTAAATGTTCTCGCTATTTTAGGTAGAGCAAAAGTGAGAATAATCTGCTTGTATTTACTAGAAAATAGGACACCGCATGGCACAGCAGGACCAGATCAGAGCAACCGGTGGTCATGTGAACTGTTGTTTCCGTCACGCTTTAAAATCACTTGCTCATTCACTAGCAGTGTGCTTGGTCATGTGGACAGCACATGTGGACAGCGCAGGTGTGCATCATGACCTGATGCTGCACCACTAAATGGGTAAGCAGCACCAGTCTGGACCCACCTTTCTTTTTGTAAGTACTGGGCAGCGAGTGTTTGTCTTCATGCTTCCCTGCCACCCGACTGTGCTTCATGCGACAGAAGAAGGATCGGCGAGCTCCAGAAGACAAGTGGGACGGCCTGACGGGGGCGTCCACCTGGACCTGGACCCCGGCTGCACACAGAAAGGCTTTTGTTACGACCACATACAGCAGTTGTGCTTGGTTTCTTTCATTTGAATTTCATATACAGGTGGTGACAAATGATAGTAAAAACCAACATGAAGTGTCTCAGTCAGGTGTTGGGTCACTACATGCTGCTAGAACAGCTTTGATGCGCCTTAGCATTGATTGTACAAGACTATGGATTCTCTGGGGGGATGGAACACAGTTCTTCCAACAATGTGTGTAAATTCTCAGTCACCCAGGTCACGGTCATCCTAAGTGCTTCAGTAGGAGGCAACTGGACTTCTCTTTTTGGTTCTTGAGGACATATTAGGTCTCCAAGAGGCTTCCTTGGTTCTAACTGGCTGGTGGAGAGTTCCAGGTTGTTTTTTTTTCCCACCCTCACATCACATGGCTTGTTAATGACCTGAGACTCACATGACTCGAGGTGTTAACGGTGGTGAAACTGCCTGGTGAAGGATCTCAGGGCTGCATTGTGAGTACCACCTCCCCTGTTTACAGATGGCTGTTCTAGATTATCATAAGTGTCTTCCTTCACTCCTCTCTCAAACCAGCTGTCTTCTCTGTCCAGAATGTGAACATTGCTACCCTCAAAGGAGTGTCCCTTGGTCTTTGGTGGACTGTGAGCTCCTCTGGACAACACTGATGAAAAGAATCATTCACATCTTGGTAGACACTCCATGTGGATGGACATTTTAAGGGGGTTCACGTGGACTCTCACCAGCTTGGGCAGAAGATAAAACTTACATCACATGGACCTTTGCAGAGCTTTGCAAATGAAGAAAGTATAAAACCGGCCTTATACCTTCTCTATGCAGTCTGAGTGGGTGGTCGTATGCATCCTTGGCGGCATTGTGCAGGCATAGATTATGTAGATGGTGTTCTACTGGGTATGTATAGAAAGGAATGGTGTCCTCCAAGCTCCAGGCAAACTAGAAAATTGTACAATAACAACTACTTGTCTGTGGTGTCCGCAGCTGTCCATGTGAGCGTCTCTAAAGAGTGCAGTCAAGGCTTAAGAGGGCAAGAAGATCCAAACCATGCCAACTAAATGCCCCCCTCAGTATAACAGAACCACCAGATCCCGTCTAGGGTCAAAGAATCTACTTTTTCCTTTAATTTGTTACCCATCTGTCTCTCTCGTTATCTTGCTGTCTTCCAGATAGGGTTACTAGTTTTTTTTTTTGCCAACAGACTTACTTGCTGCATCAATGAGGCGCTGTCGAGGGGACATATCAGAAGACGACAGCTGCTCCTTAACCTTGTTGATGTCTTTGGGGTGAATGAAATCGAACAAGCTCTGCCCAGTCAGATCCAGCTGTGAACACAAATGACATGCATCTATTAGCTCAGCCTTTTCATAACCGTTACATCTTTTATTGTGCGTTACCATCTAAACCGCCGCTTGTTTCTTACACTTTGTGCTACTTGTTCGCTTAATTTGAAAGACACGGAGACACCACACTGTGTCTACACTGTGTCTGAGGACTTACTGCAGCAGGGACCCAGTCAAGGTTTAGTGGTAAGCCTCCGTATAACACATGCTGCCCTGCAGACATGGAGTCAGATTTCTTTAGAAGCTTTTCTCCTCCATTCCTCCTAATCCCCAGTCCTCTCTGCTTGTCCACAGTGAGTCTCAAAGTTGGAAAATCAAACATGTTGAGCAGGTGTGGCTGTCCTACCAAGCACTGCATATCAGTTTTTAAAAAATGTATGAAAGCTCAGAGACTGCAGCAGAATGAGTAACACGGCCTTGATTATTATGTTTTACTTGCGGTATTGTTAGACCTTCATCAGAGCGTCATTAAAATTTCCCACATGTTGCTCTTGTTTCCTCATAAAACCTGCAGGCTCCACAACAACCATTAATGTGAAAACTAAATGACGTGCCAACAGCACAAACTGAAGCACATGCTGGGAGCAGATGAAGCAGAGAATTTTATACGGAGCTCAGGAACTGGAAAAATGTTGTAAAAGGTTATCAGACGAGTTAAAAATCTAAATAATGCAATACAGTCAAGTGATTACAGTTTGGTGTAAAATAGAAATATGACGCTTTACCTCTCAAAAGTTAGTAAGAAAAATAGTTTAAAAGCTTCTTCTTTTTTTACCCTTCTTCATTGGTCACCTAATCAGAGCCAACAGTGTGTTTCTTATATATCCATATGGGGGAACATTTAGAGTTATATGTCTGTGTGTGATGAATAAAAGTCCATTACAATCTCCTTTTTACGTTGCTTTGGTCTCTTCCAACTATTTCCAAGAGAAATATCTGTGTTTTCAGCTGTTAGATGTTCCACTTTGTTCTCTAGAGATTTGCTAACATTAATTTGATGCGAGGCAGGTGTCATTTAGACTTGTTTAGTAGATGTGTAACTTGTTTCTCTGTTTGAAAGCACTTTATCTGCTGTAACGACTGTTAATGTGCTTTATAAACAGCTTGAACTGTCTTGCATAAATGAAAGCTGCTAAACACAATGAGAACCAGACATTTAAGCTTAACTAGCATTCTAGCTGCAGCTAGCTTCTTTATTGAATGCAAGGCAATATAATACTTAAATATAAAGTCAACAATTATTCAGATGGCAGGTTAACACCAATTAAATTAGCTGGCTAAGACTTTTGTATGCTTGACTTGGAGAAAGAGTAAATTAAATCACACACATCTACAACAAGCTAATTTTGTTACTCTTAGCGTATTAGCTAACGTGACTGAGCTTGTAGTGATGCTATGCTAGCACATAATGTGGCTGATTAAAATCACCCCCATCAACTCACAGAATAAAATGAGCCAATACTTAGGTTGAGTAAACTGACTAAAGGTTAAATAAACAAATGTTTGCAGTTATTTTTAGACTTCATTCTCGGCTTTGTGCACACTACTGTGGATATTTTGTAAAATGAGCATGTTTGTCTAGGCTTGGACCTCTCATACACAAATTGTGTTTTAGGAAACTCAAGCTGAGATGTTTTTAAATGCTTTCTAAAGGGCACAGTACTATTACTTTGGTGGGAATGTAAAGCAGGGAGTTTGGGAAGTGATAATGTCTTTCCTCTTCACACTGTCGCTTTTTGAAACGAACTTGAAGCAACAACTTTGGCAGATATTATACTGGTCTCTTTAGGTTTGGCTGGCACTAGTAGTTAATAGTTTACAACTTAACTTGGCATTGCTGCACCACCTCACCAGTGTTACCAGTCCTAGAAAAAAAATGGGGACTCCACAAACTACAAACATTGGTTATTAACATTTTTATTGTTTTCCACACTCGTCTCCTCTCTGCTCCGTGTAAACACAGAATGCAGTTCACCGGAAAAGTCCCTGAATTTGTTTCATGTTTTTACAGGATATGGTGCAAACTGTTTATTTTTGGCGGATTTTAAAGGAGACGTGTAGAATAAAGTGATTTTGATAAAATCATGAGTTTAAGCAGGAGTGCAAGAGTTACACATCAGACATGGCACATTCAAGGACCACCGGAAAACTGAAAAACCAAACAGTTGTGTTTTACAGTTTCTGACTCTGTTAAATGGTGTGACTTTGGCAATTAAAACAAAAACAAACATCTTTCAAACCCACCAGTGGGTTTTAGGGCTCAGAGGCTAAAAGTCCACAGATACAAGGAAATGACAGAATCTACTTTTCTAGTATTTGAGATGTTGTTGAGACTGGCCTGCCAGCTACAGTCATTTCACTTCTTATGTGTACAAAGATATTTAGTAAAACGATGGGGATGTGGACAGAACTTTTTTTAAGCAAGAGGAAAGAAATATCTGTCAATAAATGACGACTTTATCAGTGCAAACAATGCCTTAGTTTTATAATTGATTCTGTGATGTTGTTTTGGGGCTGCACGCCACTTCTGTTTAACTTTGCTTAAATTCAACAGCAAGAAAAATTACACTAAGTTGTGTAGCTTGGGTAGCCCTGTGATAGACTGGCAAACTGTCAAGAGTGTCCCCTGCCTTCGCCCTAAGTCGGCTGGGATAAGCTCCAGCCCCCCTGCAACCCTAGTGAGGATAAAGCGGTGTATAGATAATGGATGGATGGATGTGTAGCTTGGCCCCCTCCATTAGCGTAATGCATGCAACTTCTGAATTTATAATGATTGTAATTAACGCCTAACAGAAATGCAACACACCCGCGTAAAGTTGAGGATCTTGGAGACGGACTCGGAGATGAAGAGGATTTTTGCCCGGTCACAACTTACAACTAACAGGAACCCATCGGCAGTCTGATAGGAGGACAAACAGACATATTAGCAGGTAGACAGGTAAAAGCACAATCAAACTGGAGTAGCTGGGTGTTGAATATGAGCAGCTACCCTGAGCAGAAGGTGTCTGAGGTCATCATGAGGCAGGATGGAAGGCTTGCAGGTGGTGTCTGTAAAGGCGCTGCTTGTCCCTGCTGAAGAGAACACACTGAGCACTGAGACCAGCCAATCTACGTGTTCCTGACACTTCAAATTACTGGATAGGTTCAAAGTTACCTTTGAGGGCTTTCAGGTGTTGTACAGCCTTCCGCAGCACAGTCAGTTTGTCAAGTTTCCGAGCCATGGGCTGACAGGCAGGGATCATGGCAGACAGCTCATCGATGAGGTTGTTCATTTTGTCCCTCCGCCGCTTTTCGATCTTGCGGTGAGGCTCCCTGTGGGAACATTTAACAGTCTGGAGCATAAAAACTTGAAAGGAAGGATTCATATTCCAATCTCTACCTGCTGTATCTATTTTGGGGGAAATGATTACCTGCTCACAATGCAGCTATTTTAAGGCTGCTGAAGTCATTATGGTTTAAAATAGCTGCTGACATCACAAACTAAATGAGACCAAAGAAAAAGGCTTTTCAAGACACAGATGGTGCAGTAAATTGATAAAATGGAATCACCTGAAGCATTTCATTTTGACTTGCTGATCCTCCCCCTCGGATCTGCAAATAAAAAGATCAAACATCAAAGCGTTCTCTCTGTCAAAGTCTTCTCTCTGTGGTAACATAGCTGAGAAGTCAGTGTACCTGCTGAGGTCGTCATCCATTTGGAAGTCCAGGCCTTGCCTGTAAGATGGAAGAGACACAGTGTGTGTTACTGAATACACTGCCTGGCCAAAAAAAAAAAATGCACCACCTGGATTTAACTAAGCAAATAGGTCAGAGCCTCCCATTGGATAATTAATACATGGGTGATTATGTTTCAGCTGGCGACAAGTTACTTAACCCGAACTGATGCAGTGAGTAGCTTCTCATTTCTTAAAGACACATCCTGTCAAAAGATGTGAATCTGTTTCAGAAGGCTCAAATTACTGGCATGCATAAAGCAAAGAAAACATCTGTGGCGATTGCTGAAACTACTAAAATTGGATGAAGAACTGTCCAGCGCATTATTAGTAACTGGAAGGATAGTGGGGAACCATCATCGGAAAAAAAATCTTGAATGACGGTGATTGGCGTCACTTAAACGTTTGGTGAAATCAAATCGAAAAAAAACTAAAGTAGAACTCAGGGCTATGTTTAATAGTGAAAGTAAAACTATTTCCACATGCACAGTGTGAAGGGAACTAAAGGGATTGGGACTAAACAGCTGTGTAGCCTTAAGAAAACCACTTAGCAGTGAGGCTAACCAGGAAAAAGGCTTCAGTTTGCTCAGAAGCATAAAGATTGGACTCTGGAGCAACGGAAGAAGGTCATGTGGTCTGATGAGTCCAGGTTTACCCTGTTCCAGAGGGATGGGCGCACCAGGGTAAGAAGAGAGGTGGATGAAGTGATGCACCCATCATGCCTAGTGCCTACCATACCAGCCTGGCAGGGCAGTGCTATGAGCTGGGGTTGCTGCAGGTGGTCCGGTCCAGGTTCAGCAACATGTCCAAAGAATGAAGTCAGCTGGCTACCTGAATACACTCAATGACCAAGTTGTTCCATCAATGGATTTTCTCTTCCTTGATGGCATGGGCATATTCCAAGATGACAATTCCAGGATTCCTCGTGCTCAAATTGTGAAAGAGTGGTTCAGGGAGCATGACACATCACTTTCACACATGGATTGGCCACCATAGAGTCCAGACCTTAACCCCACTGAGAATCTTTGGGATGTGCTGGAGAAGACTTTGGTCCGACTCTCCCATCATCAATACAAGATCTTGACGAAAAATGAATGCAATGCTGGACGGAAACAAACGTTGTGGCATTGCAGAAGCTCATCTATTTGCTGCAGCAAGTGCGTACCGTAATCAAAGCTCAAGGCGGTCCAACAAAATACTAGAGTGTGACTTTTATTTTTGGTCAGGCGGTGTGTTTCGTAAGGAGAAGACATGCATTGTACGGTGTCAGATGTACTTCAGAGAAAAACACAAGAGTAATATGACGCCAAGTTTTGCTTTTCTTTACAAACACAGAAGTCCTCTTACTGTACAGGGGTGTCTGACCTCTCCTCCACATCTCCCTTTCGTTTCCTTGGCAGCTCGACAGCTGGCAGCGAGGGACCGGCTTCACTTGGCCCTTCTTCCTCTACAGCAGGATCTGGTGCATAAAAAAACAACCATCACAGGGATGTGAGAAACGACAGATGAATACCTCCGCCTTGCACTCTCTCCAGTAGTGCTGGCTTTCCAGATGCTTTGTTCAGACTGTGACTGAATGTCTGAATAACTGAATGACTGATTAAGGCTTTCTCTGCTCTCTTGAGTTCATGAAGAGTGAAGCTGACAACACTGGTTTCTATTTAGTACAAGGGCAAAAGCACTGATAGAACTAGAATGACTGCCTCGTGGTTGTACACCTCTGCCAACGAGGTATACAACAGTTTATGTCAACATATGTTCAGACGTATATGTACTGAAGACTTTAAAGCGTGTAAGTTTACTGAGAGAAACTAAATCATGGTCATATTCTTTGTATGTGTTCCCATACTTGGCGCACAATGTTGATTCTGACAGAAGTTGTAGCCCAGAAAGGAGACGAAGCTTCGAACTTGGATGTTGCTGCAGAGAAGCTTTCAACCCAGAAGCCCAAAACATGGACACAATCACTTCATTTTCAAGGTGGGAAACACAATATCTCCTTCTGTGAGTCCCAGTGTTGAATGAAGGCCAGAGAGGTTCTTGCAGAATATTGACTCCAAAATGAAGTTGACCTTTTGAATATCAGATGTCATCACAGCATTAGTTCATCCTATTGTGAGACATTCTCTAAGAATATATGTATGAATTCCTCCAGTATGGTCCAGAATGTGTTTTGTGAATTCATGGCGACCTTCAACCTTTTTATCATCAAACTCTGTTCAGTTCATTGTTGAGTCCAAGTGAATGTTTGTGTCAAAGTTGAAGAAATTCCATCAAGACCTCAGTGAAAACTTGCTTTTAAGAGAACAGGGCAGACAGATGGATGCTGTCACGGTGCAGTGGCAGAAAATATGTGGATTTTATATTGTTTTTAATTGTTTGACTTTAGATATTAAAAGGTTTTGAATTACATTATATTATTGTTTTTAATTTAAGGCCATAAACTGACTTAAAATGTTTAATTTTTAAACCTGCAATGTGGAGCTTTTGTCTCCCCCTTCTGGTAGTGGGAGTAATTACATATGGCCTTGCTGTCGATTGTTGCAGCATATCGGGAATATTCACACAAAAATCTAAACCAACAATTTCCCTGAGGTTTCCACCAAGTGGATCAATAAAGTTCTATTCTATTCTATTCTATTCTATTCTATTCTATTCTATTCCATTCTATTCCAGTCTATTCTATTCTACAGTAGACCTCCAGTATACCATGAACAACAGAAATATGTACCTGCCTACCTATGAGATGTGTCAGAAAAGTTTCAGGACTGGTGTCACAAACTATGTAATTTATTTCCAAACTACAAGGTTTCCCCTTCAAAGTCATCCCCCTGGAGTCTAACACACTGTCCCAGCGCTCTCTTTCACGCCGCCATGCACTCCTGGAAGGATTCCTCCGGGATCCTCCACTGCTCCATCGTCACAGCCATCTTGATGTCGTCCACGTCTTCAAAACGGGTCCCCTTGATGACCCCCTAGAGCTTGGGGAAGAGGAAACAATCCCACTGAGCCAGATGGGGCGAGTAGGGAGGTTGCTCCAGCACGGAGATGTTCTTCTCAGCCAGGAATTGTCAGGTGCTCAGGGCGTTGCGAGCAGGCGCGTTGTCATGGTGAATGAGACTCTCGCCTCTTCTCGCGCACTGAACGAAGCAAACGCTTCAGGATCTCTTTGTAGACGTGCTGGTTGATGGTCTGGAACTGTGACAAGAACTCGCAGTGGACGATGCCCCTCACATCGAAGAATGCGATCAACATGACTTTGACTTTGGACTTCGACTGCCTTGCTTTCTTCGGCCTTGGCGATGTCGGACTCTTCCACTGAAGGCTCTGGCGTTTGGTCTCCAGGATGTACTGGAAGATCCATGACTCATCATCGGTCTGGTTTGGTTTCAAGACACTCGAGGATGTCCTGACACACTTGCATGCGTTGATCCTTCTGAGCAGTTTCGACACCATCTTTGTGAAGACTTTCCGCATGCCCAACTCTTGATGATAATCTTCCAGGCGTTATCCCCGTTCATGCCTAGCTCATTCGCGATCAGTTGAACAGTCAACCGACCATCGCCACGCACCATCTGCCTGACACACTCAACTTTGGCCTCAGTCCTGCTCGTTGAAGGCCTTCCACCATCTTCCACATCCTCGCGTCCCTCTTTAAACCTCTTGCACCACTCAAATTACGCGATTACTTTGAAGGGGAAAACTCTTGGTTTGTAGTTTGGGTTTGAAATATATCTTTTGTGAGACCAGTCCTGGAACTTTTCTGACACACTACCATTACAGGAACTCAACTGGCAAGAGCTTGAATTTAATGGACGATTCTTTTATGTAAAGGTCTCGCACAAACATTTTAGTTAAGATCCCACCAGTACCTTTGTTTTTTTTTTTTAGCAAGAAGTCATGATTGCAAATCTGTGGCGCGTCAAAAGTGAGGAGGAGCTGACTTTGTTAACTGGTTACCAGTTCAGCAAGAGTTTCCAGTTTTATGAACTGATTAGATAGAAGACTGATATGTCTAGAATGACTGAAACTAGCATTAAAAATAGTCTGCAAGATTTTTGATACAGCTTTTTAATGCCTAAATACATAATTTACTTGTATTTACTTGTATGTATTGTAAATAGATAAACATTTTTCATTGGTACAACTTGACCTGCATTAAATAAAAAACTTAAAAAAAAAACAGCATTCAACTCTAGTATATAAAATCATGATCACCATTGGTTTAATTTCATAATTAAGTATTAAATTGCTCATATTATTACAACCATTTCATTTATAATTTCCTTGTTGAAGGGAACCAGCCAGCAGAGCTGTTTCTAGTGTTTTGCTCTTTAACAATCATATTCAGGTTCATAGTGCCTGTTTGTGCATTTTTGTGGTTACTGATCGGTTATATAAAGCTTTTTTTTTTTTTTTTTTTTTAAACTTAATTAATTTTGATTACCTACCACCTAAAGAGATTCCACATGTAAAATCATTTTTGTTCAACCATCAGCATGACTCATCAATCACATTGTTTGCAGCAGTGGGTGGTAATTATTTTGAAAGGCTGATATCTCAGTCAGGAATGTTGCTCTGTGGAAAAAGCCATATGCGGCTTTAAAAACTGACCCAAAAACTTTTCGCTGAGCAGAACAGCCAAAATTTTTTCCCCCTTTCGTCTTCGAAGTTCTATTTAGTCTCCTGCCAAACCAACAGCCGCTCGTCCCTCGCACACTTCGGATGCCTTGGCTCATTCCTGTCCAGTCATCTGTTTCTAGGCAAACTGTCCATGCAGTGGCTCGGGTTTGCCAGTGAACGGCGCCAAACCTCCAGCTCTGCTCTCTCGGTCTGTTAGTCAGGAGAGGCACGTGAGTGAATGGGGTTTGGGCTATCGTCTTACCTAAGGCTTATATAATGCTGTAACACTGACCTACTTCCTTCTCAGGACTCCCCTACTTTAAATTGTGGCATCGATTTGGGGGAAAAAAAAGTGTTGATAAAAGTGAAGAAAGCTTCTCAACGTGACTGTCGGTCAGGACTAACCCACATCCTTCTGTTTTTCTCACTGAAGGAACAAAAGCAAGTGGTGAAAAGAGATGGTTTAATGATGAAACCATATTTTTCTCAGCTAATTTTGCAATACAAGCTGCATTACTGAATATCCAGGATTAGTGAAAGAAAAACACAGCGAGGACAGTTTGTCTCTCAGGTCATGGTAACCGTTCTCTTCAGGACAAAAGGCTAAATCACAAAAGTAGTCTGTTTTTATGAAGAAGAACATCATGTTCAATTAAAACAACAGTGCATGAATTAAATGATATTGACATCATTTACTTTAATCCCTCCAGAGGACTTTAGTGGGTCATCACTGACGCAAAAGTGGAATGTGGGAGTGAGCGTCCGCCGGCTCTGCCTTCCACCCACAGCGGCTCCCCACCGCTGATGCAGCACAACAGGCCCCTCCACTGTTTTTCCTGTTTCCTTGTAAGTCAGGAAATCTTCCCTGGGCACCTGAGCGAGCCCTGCCTGCTGACTGGCCCAAACGTGACTTCGAAGAAGCCACGATACCATCTGAGCCAAGACTCAACCCTCTGAGTCACGCCCGAGCCAAAAGCACCGGTCGTGACAAGAGCTCTGACGAAAGGCCAAGCCTGCGGGGCAGCACACGACATACCACATTATTGAAATGAACACAGACCACCACTCGTGATGGAAACACACAGGAATGCAACAGAGTGGGGACGACAAAGCGTATGCACCGTATGACCTACATGCACTCCTGCACCTTTAAGTGCAAATTTAATGCCACTTGAATAACTTAAAGGGATTTGATGGTGGAAAACAGAGTATAAATGGCCTCATTTAGATTGTAGAAAAACCAGGAAAAATCCCTGCTCGTAATGCAATAACCCAGTTTAATATGACACCAACCAGGGACTGTTCAGAGTGGCCAAACACTAATGCCTAAACCAATAAATAACCACCAAATGGAGCAACAATTATGTTAAACACACGCATATTTTTACTTCTCTAAGTAGCTGCTGAAACGAGGCTGATAGCTGATGCTATGATACAAAACATATTTATGCAGCGATACTAACGAATAACAATTCTACACTCAGGCTCATGAGCCACTGTCCTGTTATGTCCTGACTCTAACTCCAACCCAGAGCCAAGTTATAAGAGAAAACTACACAATAACAGGTCATAAAGGGTGAGGACGCTCTGCTGCGTCTCCAAACAGCATAAATTACAGTGACAGTGTTTTTAACAACCAGAGCAAACATAGATACAAGCTGGGTTGAAGGTTCAGAGACTCCTGCGCAAACATATGACAACTTTTTAAGATTCTAATAAAAAAGCCATGACTGTGATCCAGCAACTAAACAGCAGAGAGTCTTCAAAATATTTTTTCAAACCGTAACTTTTTGTACAATTTAGTGGTTTACAATTGATTTAAATCATGTGCTTATA